CCATCCCCCCTCTCATTCGCCCTCCCATCCAGTCCTCCCCTGCCCTGCCCACTCCACCCCACCCTACCCTACCTCTCCTCTATCTTATCCCATCCCATCCCATCCCATCCCATCCCATCCCATCCTATCCCATCCATAAAAAACTTGTGACTTTTTAAATTGGTTTCATGACCTGGTTTCAGATCATTGGGGCCAAATGTGCTCTCTGTGATTTTTTTTTTAAAGAGAAGGTATGTCATTGTGCTGCCCAGGCTGGCCAGAAACTCCTGGGCTCTGGTGATCCTCCTGCCTTAGCCTCCCATGTAGCTGGGACTACAGGAATGTGCCACCACACTTGGCTCTGTGACTGTTTTTCATACCCAGCAGAGATGTCAGACCCATCAGATCCAGCCCTGCAAAGTAGGGTGGGGAAGTTGGGAGCTGGGAGGAAGGGTTTGCCCAGGGTCACAACAGGCCTTTCTTGGAGCACTCTGAGCCTCAGGCAGAGCCCTTCCCACGGAGAGCATGGTGTGTCCAGGATGTTGTACAGGCCTTATGTCCTGTGAGTGAGTATGGGGACCCAGGCAGCTGTGGGGAGCAGATATGTGCAGTCCTGAGGCTGTGGAAGCAGGAGATGAGTTGGCTGAGGAAGGAGCTGTGATCCCTGCATGAGATCCCAGCTGCCGAGGGAGGAGAGCTCTGTTCTGTTGTGGAAGCTGCCCAGACATGTCATGCCTTGGACTGCACCAGGACCTAGGACACCCATGAGATCTCCCATGTCCAGTCAAATGTTCACTGAGGACCAGTATGTCCTCTGCCACAGCATGTGGCAAAGCTAGCAGTGCCTGTAAGAGGTTCTGAGCAAGTGCTCAAGCTCCAGCAGCCAGAGGGTGGCTCTTGACAGTGCTTTGAAACAGGGTCCAGAAAATATGCAAAGAACTTGAGACACAAGCAAAGACAACATTGTTAGACCACTACTGGGCATGTGGTCTGTCCCTTTCTCTGATGCCAGGACCTGCCTCATGGCATCTTCTTCCCCAACCTGGGGAGTCTTCCGGACTGCTGTTATCTGTGATGTCCTTGGTGGGACATAGCACCTTAGAAACTTGTGGGCCCTGCTTGTGTGTTAGCTGGTCATGGAGCCTTGGGATCTCTGAGGCCAAGGGCTAGGAAGGCTGCTTGAAGTTCAGACTGCAGAGCCTGTTATGGTTTGGATCTAAAATGCCTCCCGCAAGTTTCATATGTTTTGAAAATTTTTGGATCATGAGAGTGCTATACTCATTAGTGGATTCATCCACTGATGAGTTCAGTAGCTGCATGTAGTTTTAGGAGATGGGCCCATTTGGAGGTGGGTCACTGGGGGTGTGACCTAGAAGGGTGTATTCTTGTCCCTGGCTCCTTCCTTCTCTCTCTGCTTTCTGGCCACCATGGGTTGAACACCTTTCACTCTGCCATGCCCCACTGCCATTGTGTTCCTGCCTTGGAGCCACCTGGCCATGGACTGAAACCATGAGCCAAAATAAACTTGTCCTCCTTTAAATTGTGGGTGTTGGGTATTTTGTCCCAGTAATGGGAAAGTGGCTAATTCTGGGCCTTTACTTGTGTCATGTAAAGGCCAAGGTTGAGGAGCCTGGGCTTATATAGTTGGCACAGTCAGAATCCACCAGGCCTAGCCCTGTCTTTCCCAGTGCTGGGCCTTTAGGGAGTGACATAAAATAAAAGGTTACTTTTATTTTGATTAATTTAATGTCTTTATTGATAACCTTCACATATCCAAACTCACCACTTCACCCTTTTTACAGTGTGCAATTCAGTTGTTTCCAGTACATTCTTGGTGTTTTGTATCTTCACCACTACCTAGCCCCAGAACATCTTCATCACCTCGAAGGGAGCCCATGTCCTTTAACAGTCACCCTTCTTTCTCTGCCTCCAGCTCCAGTGACCAGTGGTCTGTTTTTTGCTTCTGGCTTTGCCTGTCCTGGCTGTTTCTGTACACCATGTGCTTTTGTATCTGGTCTGTAACTCTTGGAACTTAGCCTTCTCATTTACATAATGGGTGCCCACCCTGCCCACCTCCCCCAGGCTGCTGTGGTCATTATGGAACATGAAAAGTACTGCACCAATGCCCGTACATGTATACTAGGCCTGAAGCAAATCTCCCCTTCTCTGTTACGGCTGCTGTGTATCTTATGGACTGTTTCTACAATGTTCTGCATGAGTTGACCAATTGCCCTGATGGAGTGGAATGAAAAATCACAGTGGTGGGGTTTGTCGGGGTTGTGATGCCTTGAGAACCAGATAACTAGCTTGTGGCCTGCCTGGTAGCAGGAAGGTGTTTGCTGTGGATTCCCTCCACTGTGAATTTATACTATCGCTTAACCATCATTTCTGGACAGTGTAGTTGTGCTGAATCCAAGTCTAAACACTCAGAGGTCAGGATGGTTTGGAAGACACCCTCTCTGAAGGAGGAGTGTGGTACAGAAGTTGCAGCTCTTTTAGGAGGCTCCCCCCACACTTGGTCTCAGGCTAGAAGGGTCATGGGCTGGGGACTGGAGCACCTGGAAGCCAGGAAGGGTGGTGGTGGGAGGTGCGGGTGGGTACTGGGCTGGGAACAGAACACTGTGCTCCATGTGCTTGTGACTCACCCCTTGCCGCCTTCATTTCATTGAAGTTTGATACACAGTACATAGCATCCATAAATATTCTCATCTGTTCAGTGACATTTGTCCAACAACAGACGCATATGACTCCCACCCCAGTGAAGGGAAGACCATTTCGGTGGCCTCAAATAGTCCTTTTGTCCCTTCCTAGTCAGCCACCCCCTCCTGTAATCTCCACTAATCTCTTTTGCCATTGTGTGTTTGATCTCGGCAGTTTTATACCTTTGGATCACGCAGCATGTATTTTTATGTCTGACTTAGTTCTGAGCCCAGAGTCTATGTGTGCCAGTACAGACATACCTCATTTAATTACTGAGAACCGTTCCTGTGACTGGATCATTAAATGAATTGGTCACTAAATGAGGAATTGTATATAGTATATATAATCTTCAGAACAAAGAAATGGACAAAGGAAACTTCAACTTGATGACTTCGCTCTTATTTGCATAACTCTCACATGTAGTACTGTACTGTATAACAGAACATAAAACTACAATACTGTCAACAAAAATTACAGTACTACAAAAATTACTTCTTCTGTACTGTAGAAGAAGCCACCATAAGGTCACAGGGCTATTCACCTTCCTGTGTCATAAGTCTGAATAGCAGGTTGTAAGTCCAAACGGTTGTTAAACAGGTAGGTCATTAAATGAGGAAACATGCAGTGGTGGGTACTTGTGAGTTTGTCACAGCTTGTGTTTCCATCCTCATGTTGATGCCTGCTTCATTGTTTCCAGCTGTGACTGTTTCTGAGCATCAAGGTGCTATTGGCATTTTTGTAAAATCTTTACATGGGCAAACGTTTTCACTTTTTCGTGGGGTGATAAATACCTAGGAGTTAAATTGCTGGTTTATGTTTAGTGTGACTTTTAAGAAATGGCAAATTCTTTTCCATACTGGTTGTACTATTTTAAATTTTCCTGAGCAGTGGGAGAGATCTCATTTGCTCTTAGCCCTTGTCAACACTTGACATTGTCAGACATTGTAAGTTTAGCCATTCTGTAGGTGTTGTGTAGTGGTGTCTCATTGATTGTGGATTTAATTTACATTTCTCTGATGTTGTGCATCTTGCTGTGTGCTTATTGGCCACTTGTATATCTTCTTTGTTGCAGTATTGTTCAAATCCATTATTGGTGTTGTATTCAATTATCATATTATGTGAGCTCATTTATTCTGGACATGAAGCCTTGTTGGGTATCTGTATTTGCATATTTTCTTTCAGACTGTGTATCAGACTGTCTTCACTACTGTACCTGTGAAGTACATCTTGACATGGACTGGGAAGTATTTCCTCTTCTTTTCTTTTCTTTTTTTTCAGTACCAGGGGTTGAACTCAGGACCTTGCACTTTCGAGGCAGGCGCAACTGAGCTAAATCCCCAGCCGCTCCTGCTTTTGTTTTCTGAGTTTGTGTAGAATTGATATTATCCTTCTGTGACTATTTGGTGGAAGTTACTGGTGAAGCCTCTGG